CCCAACACACACAAATTCCATCAGAGTACTCACAATCAGCATTTTTCAAAGACTGCTTCTTTTTGGAGGGTTTGGAAATCACTTTGATTCTTTTACTTTGAAAGACACCAATGTCCTGCCCGTTGCCATAGAACATCTTCACCGTCAACATGAAGTGCTTTCTCTTGTCCGAGTCCGAAATGTACAGGGTCTTTGCTGCACAGTATTTCTGAAAAACATGGATGTGAACATTTTTAAAAAAATAGGACAAGTCACTGGAACCAGAAACATAATGATGATAAGACTGAATTTTAATGTTTTTCAGCACTATCAATACATTGGAGGTGTCAAACAGTAAATTGTCGTGATTATCAGGAAACGCAGTAAATACCTATCTGGAACAACTGGAGGTGTCATCTCTTTTTTTTTTAAAGTAAGAGTTTAATGGCACTTGCAACACAATACAGTCCTATAAGTGCCGAAGAATAGGTGTGTTACAAGAGAGGAACATACACAAAAAAGCAGGAGAGATAAGGACAATAGATGTTTGATAGGAAAGAAGGAGCAAACAACGCCAGAGCCCCCGCCAACCACCCACTGGTGTCATCTCTGACTCAAGAGGTTGACGTGTACTAACCCTCCATTATTCGCGGTCGCAAGCAAAGAGTCTTTAATATATTTGGAAAGAGTACATTAGGTCCATCCATTCGGAGCTTAGTTGACCGATTACGCACATCCTGTTTGAGATGTGTGCATGTGTGTGTCTCTGTGTGTAGGGGGGGGGGGGGGAGTAGTAGCACAAGCGGAACTACTTAACTACTCATACTATAGATAAGAGCCTTGAGCTCTTTGCCTTAGTAGATCAAATGTACACAAAACAGATAAGATGAGTCATGACAGAAAATTGTTTTATGTGTCTTTTATGTAAGACCCGTAAGTACCATCCCTCTCTCTTAAGACGTAAATGCGACACAAGAGCTCTTTTCTCAAACAGTATGTGCTAGACTTAGTCTTAATAACTTCTCTTCTCAAATATATATAAAATAGGTAAGAAAAGTCTATAAAAGTAAATTATTCTGTCTTAATCCGTCATGGCCACCCTGGCCTGTGAAAAGGATGTAATGTTCCCACAAGAAAACTAAAATACTCTATATAAATGATATTCCCCCCACACGAGAATCAAACTCAGATCTTCTGCTTGTGACAGCAAAGCACCTAACTCCTACACCTCAGAAGGCAGATAAATGCGTGCAATAAAAAAAAATGAGTTCACATCGCCTGAATATCTTGGAATACTAACAGACACACCCTTCTACTGATAACATTGCCCCCGCCCCCCCACCCAAAAAAAGAAAAAAAAAAAAGAAAAGGGGGGCCCCACTAAAAACAATGTCCGCATATACAAACTATAAACACACACACATACTTAGAAAACAAAATATCAGTTTATCTTAAGCCTATTTTAAGAGCATGTGAGTATACTTAAAGAGTGGGGATGTGTACACAATAACGCGCATTGGCGCAACGTGTCTACGGGCGGTCAGAGAAAAAAGACACGCCTTCCCACCACGTAATCAGACAACAAGCACTAACTACACAGATCTAATCTAAGGAAGGAGCTGGCCTGCCCGCCGGCCCCTGGTGGTAAGGAGCAAGACATTAGGCTGTGTAAACAGCAAGGAGAGGGGAAGGAGGGACAGCTGGACATGTTCCCACCGGGCTGGTCACCATTGATCTACTGGCTGTGGCTCCCTCTCTCTCTCATCTCTAGTTGTCCCCCCCCC